AGAAATAAAAAAAAAAAAAAAAAAAAAAAAAAAAAGAAATCCCAAAGCTTCATGTTAAACTTCTTATTACTGTCAATGCCTAAGTCAACTGGTTAGTAAGAAACAAAGCCAAATGTTTTTAAGTGAAAAGCAAAGCATGGAACTGATCTTCATCACATACCTCCCACACTTTTGCACATCCTTACCTGTGTTTCTGCACTGCTTAATGAATGAAGATCCAAGGACGGGTCTGTTTTGAGTTCAGGTTCAGGAGCTGCAATTGGGGCCTTTAAAATGATCTCTTCATCAAAACTGGTTCCAAATTCTATCTCTTTCTGACCTCCTTCACATTTCTCGTTAGCTGACTCTACTTCTTTGCCTTCTTCCTCAGAGACCTGAGACTTAGGCCTTTTGAGAAATGAGGAGAAGAGCCGTGACAGGCCCCTGTTTTCTGATGTCCGTTCCTTGTTCTTGGTTAAGTCTTCATGTGTAGGAGTATCTCCATTAGATGTTTTCAGCTTCTGCTCACACTGAGTATCTCCTTCAGCTGCCTCTTGAGAAGGCTCTTCCAGCTGAGTTTCTTGTTGGCCTGAATTTGTGGCTCCCTCACCTTCTTCCTTCTGTTGTTGGTGCTGTGAATTTTCAGCCTCAGCCACTAAACTCTTCTCTGTTGTCATGATGTTGCTATTAAGAAGAAAGAAAAGGGGAACTCTTATAATCAAAATAGATTACTGAAGATGAAACCCTAAATCATGTCAAGTGTGCTAAAATTAATATATTTAGATATTTAATCACCCACAGACAGTACTCCAGTCCATTAAGCATGAGACTTTCCATTAAAGTACAAAAATACCTTACCTATACATCCTGAATAAATTATTAATGCTGTGACTTGCTAAATATGTGCACATGGAGAAATTACCTTGCCCTGAGGCCACCTCAGTGAAATGCATATTTTTAATTCAGTGCTCAGAACTGTATATAGCAAATACCATTTTATCCTTCCTAAAAAAGGATCTTATTTGTATACTATGCTCTGAGGGTATCAGTCTAATAAATGTGCAAAGTGTGCAGCAGTTATCCTTTGCAAAATTCTTTCACTCCTGCTAAATGATGAGATTAAAAAGTTCCCAACTCTTTTTTGTTCTTTTTTTGTATATTTCTTAGAATGCACTGGCTTCTCTAATAAGAACAGCAAATGCAGAATTCTGATCATTTATTAAGCTTGACAATAGCAATGACAAATATATGATTAAAATAATCATCCCAAAAACCTTAAATTTTCATGCTACATTACTGAATTACAGCCTCTTACAAAAGTATCCTGCTGTAAGTTCTTTAAGATCTTATTTCCTTCTGAAAAATATGATTTTGAATATTCAGTGTATAAGAGTAGACAGTGAAGCTACTACAATAGAGAAAAATAGAAAAATAACAGAGAAATATAAAGGAACAAAATAGAGAAGACAGATTTAGAAAGCAAATGCTGAGAGCAAAGGAAAGGAGAAAGCAGGCTGTAGACCTCACATATTTCAAACATGTTGGGTTTCTAGTCTCTTGATCTCAAAAATCCCAGTATTATTAGTCAGGTCTCACAATAGCCAAGGAACATTGTCACAGCTACTTTACTAAAGAATAACAAACATACAAGGGAACTTTTGTGATACCAGGAAATAAAGTTGACTATTGATGATCTTACATGTTGATTCACTACTATACTTAGAATTACTCCACTCAAAATGTGGCATTTACCATGTCTTCACATTTGCTTCACACTGCTTAAATGAAGTAATTTTATTTGAATGTTCACAATCCAAATTAATGAACTATATTTAGCTCATTCCCTCCTCAGGCCCTCTGCGCTTGCTGTTCTCTCTAACTATGATGTATTTCTCCTGGCCATTATTTTAAGCATTAAAAGTATTTTAAGCGATAAAATATTTACCAAGGCACATTTTCTACTCTCATTTACTAAGTCATAAAATTTACTCTTTGCTAATAAAATATGCAATTCAGTCTTTATAAACACTACTTAAAACATTTGCTAACCAATATACATTCTTAATTTGTTACCCTGGAGGGAGGTACATGTGTACTTAAATAAAAGAAATAAAATTGTCTTCAATTCCTCCTATTAGGAGTAGGCGATTGATTTTTCCAAAATTCAAATATTTCTTTACTAAGTAATAAACAACCAGAAAGAAAACCTGGTTATCAAACTATTATTCTAAAAGAATGATGGCTTGATTCGAGGGCACCAGTTTACTTCATACTTTGGAAGAGCAGAGGATGGGATGAGAACTTAGCATTATTTTCCATGGGTTTCAGATATGACTTTATCATTCATCCTAATAAAAAGGTACCAAAACCACTGCTATATTAAAAATTTCCCATGCAACAGATTTTATAGCAAGGTCTCTCATAAAGAAAGGTCTCTCTCTCTTTAAAAAATTACAAATCTTTCGTGAAAGTTTTAGCAGATATGAAAATCACTTAAGCCTCACTTCTTTTTTAAAAAAAAGTTTTTAATGTTTATTTATTTTTGAGAGAGAGGGAAAGCGAGCAAGTGCGGAAGGGACAGAGAGGGAGACACAGAATCCACAGCAAGCTGCAGGCTCTTCGCTGTCAGCACAGAGCCCAACACAGGGCTTAAACCCATGAACCGTGAGATCATGCCCCAAGCTGAAGTTGGACACTCAACAACGGAGCCACCCAGGCACCCCACTTAAGCCCCACTTCTAACAGTATTTTACATACATCTTGCTGTAAATACAGTATTTATTTATTCCCATGTTTTATAATTTTTTCATATAGTTTTAAAAAGAGAAAATCTCTTCTAAGGATGTTTTTGTCATTGCTTTCACATGAAAGGGAGTCTTTAAGAAAGTAACTGAATGAGTAAAAGTACTCAATTGTTTAAAAAAACACACACACAGATGGTAACAATCCATATACTATATATGTACTTGTTAAATTTTAATGTGCATCAAATCACCTAGAAATCTTGTTAAAATATAGATTCTGATTCAGCAAGTCTGGAATGGAGCCTGAGATTTTGCATTTCTAACAAGCTCCCAGATGTTGCCAGTGCTGCTGGCCCAATGGCCACTCTTTGAGCAGCAAGGCATTAAAAAAAACCACTATTACTTTTGGAACATATTCAAAATGCCTAAGAAATAAAGATGGCAAAAAAGCTACATTTAGAAAGTAGAATATGAACAGTGAAAAATACTTGACACAATAAATCCTCAACCAATGCTTGCTGAATTAATGAATGAAGCAAAGAATGCAACATATTGTTAAATGTGGACGTTGTAGTAGTCATGATACTTGCCCAAAGTCAGTGCTCTTGGTATCTCCACTAGTGTGATCTCTTTGATACATTTAGGAATGAATGATCAAGACATATGTATAAAGTGATTCAACAATTTTATACATTATCCTGTGTTCACCACAAGTGTAGCTACCATCTGTCCCAATACATCACTATTATGATATCATTGCCTATATCCCTTATGCTGTGTCTTTTAATCCCGTGACTTATTTTATTCCATAACTGGAAGCCTGTATCTCCTACTTCCCTTCACCCATTTTACCCAACCCTCTACCCTACTCCCCTCTGGCAACCATTAGTTTGCTCTGTATTTAGAGATCTGATCCTGTCTTTGTTGGTTTATTTATTTGTTGTTTTTGTTATTGTTTTAGCTTCCACTTATAAGTGAAATCATATATTTGTCTTTCTCAGTCTGACTTATTTCACTTAGCATAATACCCTCTAAGTCCATCCATGTTGTCTCAAATGGCGTGATCTCATCCTTTTTGTGGCTGTATAATATTCCACTATATATATCTAGATAGATATAGATATAGATATAGATATAGATATAGATATAGATATAGATATAGATATATTTACCACATCTTCCCCATTTCTCTATTGATAGACACTTAAGTCACTTCCTTATTGTGGCTATTGTGTATAATGCTGCATTAAACATAGAGGTGTATTTATCTTTTCAAATTAGTGTTTTTGTTTCCCTTGGGTAAACAATCATGGAATTAATATTCTATAAATTCTGTGCCAACTCTATTCAAATTTTAAAAAATTAGCCACCAAGACAATATCAACTCATCTTGTTTTAACTATCTGCATGGCACTTACTGTCTAAAATTACCTTGCTTATTTGCTTTCCTTTTTTCCTTTTTTTTGAATTGTCTGCCCTCTACAATAGGATGTACAACACATGGGAGCAGTGTTTCTGTCTTATTTAGCAGAAACTCACAAGTATGTTGAAATGTCTGATAAATATAAAGTGCTCAACAAATATCTTTAAATAAAAAAAGATATATGAATAAAGAATTAGAGAATAACACCTACCAGTGCAAAACATTTGCCACATAATTGGACATATCATAAAAAACAATGTAAGAACAGGTAAGAGCACAATATAAGGAAAAGGCATATAAGCAGAAGGGCAAAAGAATTCTATTGGACATGCTAAAACCAACTTCAGGTAATATCATACATTAAATGCAGGAAAACAACCAGGATATCAGACAATGTAGTTAGTATTCAGCAGAGATGCCATAATTCAATGTATGCAAGGAAAAATAAAAATAAATTATTAAGGACAGTTTTCATGCATGTTCTTTCCAGCCATGCACACATAGCAACACTATTAGTAAGAGCCACAAAAACATAGGGAATTGGGAGTAGGAAGAGAATATTAAATGAAAACAATAAACCAGGCAAGTATCTCCAGTTAGCTCTGAGGCTGATCAGAATTAAACAAAAACTAAATAGAAAGAAAATATCCTATGGACCATTTACTAAAAGTTCAAATAAGCTCATCCTTACAAATCTGTTTTACATGAAGCCAAGTTCTTCAGGTTACAAATGATAAGATGAGTAACCAGAGGAAAAGACACAAAGAAATTAAGCAGCAAAGACAGGATAAATGCTCTACAAACAGGTCCTTCCTGTTTGCAGTAAATGATACTCCTTTCATTCTTGATACAAAATTCAAAAGGAGGTATCTACTTACTTAATGTCAGAAAGAGGTCTTTCAATTAAAAAAAAACAAAACCCAGCACTGAAGACAAAGCAGTGAGTTCCCATTCCATCTCAATCTTAATCCACTAAACCCTTGGAATTATACCCCATCTGGTATAAAACAAGATACACTTGTCTTAACAGTGTGCATCTGTTGACTTCAGGCAAATCAGATTTTTTTAAATCAGATACTGAGCAGATTTGCAAGGGCTGGACAATATCTTTCATCTTTTTTGTATCTCTTTCTAACATTAGTATAGTCCATACTCCATTAATGCTTCTTGGGTAGAAAATTTAGTAAAAACACTACAGTTAGGTACCACTAAGAAAATTCCTTACGATCACCATGTATAAATGAAGTGTAATGATTTAAGTATTGATAACACTCTTCAAATTAGCTCTGTGAAATAATTTTATCAAGGTTTACTGAGTGCTAATCATGTGTAAGGTTTGGGCTTAGCAACCGAAAGGGACCCAAAAAGAATAATACACAGTTCTTAGGGAGACAAGACATATGGGTAGCTGCCGCTTTTCGAAAGTTTGAGTGATGCCACTTTGCTTTCAAGAAAGACATGCATTAGTACAGATCTTCCTCCACTTTTTAAAAAAATTTC